AGAGCATGACCTCATTGAGAGGTAAGAAGTCATCTCTGAAAGTGCATCAGCTCTGGTCTTCCTTTATCTTTACGTCTTTCATACATGAAATGCAAACTTAGGCAAAAAAGACTCAGGTTTCCATGTCTCACAAACCTGTTTATTTCTGGTATGCTTTAGAGATTTTTCAAAATTATGGAGTTGTTTTTGTGATTTTTACCTAATTTAGTTACATTTAATCATATGTTTTATAACTTCCCCCTGTAGTGCAATGCAACTGTTCTTATGCTTAAAAGAACTGTATGATTAAGTGCTTTACTTGATTGGTAGCATTGAACAGTTTCTAATTTTAACATAATAGTTAAGCTATTGTCAGCCTTGCACAAAGGCACAAAATTTTGAATTGGTACCACATTTTTAATGGAAAATTTTCACACATCTGACAAGCTATAATGTAAGTTAAGCAAAACTCTTTTGTTTTGGAAATGCATTGAAAAGTTATACTCTGTTATGTTGCAACTCTTACTAGAATTAAAACACAGTAGACCATAAAATATGAATGTCTATGTCTCTATGCTATGCTACTGTCTCTCATAGTTATTATGTCTCAGAAATCTTTGTTTTCCACAATACTTTTTCTATTCCTGTCCCACAAAGACAGCTACACTTTTGTTCAGTGTAGAATAATAGTTTTTAATGCTAATTTAGAGACAGAGTAGCTGAGACTTGTTACAGGTATGTTGTAGATACAATAGATAGACATTGGTGGCATTTTACTTTTCCTTGCAATAGCTTACAGGCCCAAAACTTGGACAAAGGAGTTTTTATCCTGTGTTGCAATTCTTGTAGTCTAATAATTTCCTTTTTACAACCAAAGCAGGCTTTGTCCTGATACTTTATTAGTCTGAAATGTTTTAAGATTAGGCTTCCATCTTTATGGATAATAAGCTTATTTCTCTGCTGCTTTGTTCCAGACTCCACAGATCCTACTGCTTTGGATGATAAGTGTTTCCATAATTTTAAGCACTTATTAGACCATACATGATTCATGTATTAGTCCTCTTAAGCAACTTGGGAAATGAATTGTGGCAGCAGAAATTCTGTCATTAGGTCAGCTAAGTTTGATCTTTTGAGGGCTGATCACATGAAGCAAGTTGCAGAGTTACAGCCTAGATTAGAAGTGAGAAACACAAGCTAATTCAGTGAACAAGAACTGTTTTATAAAATAAATGCAAATCTACCCCCTCACATTTATCCAGTAAATAAAAGAAGCACTTTTCCATTCTTTTTGAGGACATAGAAGAGAACCTGTGAGTTAATTCTTTCCTCTTCAGTTTTCCCATACTTTTATGCATGTATATTGCTGACTGAAGAGGAGTGTGTCAATGAGGAAGCTGTTTTTAATTGTCTCCTCTTAGTACTTCATGAGGAAATTATTTTCAAATCCCCAAGCTTATTTCTTTGGAAATAGCAATTTATGTAACTGTGTCTGTGAGAGTTAGGACACCTTAGGTCCTGGGAGGGGTACTCTAGGCTTTACAGAACAAAGGACAGTGATGCCTGTGTTAAGTCTGGGTGAAGTCTTTAGAAGTAGAAATAAAGTAGCATTGGTATTTAATTGACCCACAAATGTAATGGTCCGTCTCTGCAAACCAACTTACTTCCCTTATTAAAACCTCAGGTCAATTATCATTTATACAGGTATTTGAAGCAAGTTTCTACAAAGCTTTGCTTCTCAGTAGTTACTAAAAAGTTACACCCTTAGTAATTAAACTTGCCAGCATTGGTCGTCATAGCAAAGTCCAGACACTGGAAGACGCGGGTGGTTGGCTCTGTGCAAGGAGCAAACTGACAGCAAAGTTCATGTCACCGGGTTTCTCCCCCTGCACCTTCCTCAGTTCCCTGCAGTACCTTTATTGTGGCTATTCCCTGTATCCCTTCTCCTTATTCTCTTTGTACACCTTGTTTCTGGCTGATGTGCCTCCTCTAAAAATTAGGTATCTCTCTTGCCTTCCACAGACCATTTTACTTGCTGACACATGGAAAAGGCAGGCAGACCTGACAAGCTGGAAGACAACAATACAGGGCTTGTCTAAGATTTGTAAAGTACATGTTGTGATGAGCATATTATTTACAGCGAAGTAGCAGTGGACTTAATTAGAATAATTAGACAGTGCTGTTATCTTGAAATTTCATAAAAATACCATTTTAAACAAAGCCAATAACTTTCTTCTTTGTTTCTGTTAGAAAGAAGCTCTGTTCTCTATGCTCCTGAAAATACAGAAAGGAGGCAGTGAGCATGGAAAGCTGGTGATCTTCTGACCAATCCAAAAAAACTGTATTGCCTTGAATAGTGATATTCATCAGTACAGAATTAATATTTTCTGTGATATTTGTCAGGATGGTGAACCAAGAGTCTTTTTGGGAATGAACAGATGCAAATACAGGCACCTGAGGAAAAACTACACAGTGCTAACAAATGTGTAGATATTTTTTTTTTGGTGGTGCCAGTTGTTTGTAGAACAAGTCTCATACTTTTTTAGTCATGTAGTTGTAGTAGATAGTGAACTCTGGAGATGTTTATTAATCCTGAAGTTAAAAGGAGGCTATAAAAGAACTGGGCATTCTCCTTTTTAAGAAAAATTCTTAAATTAGTCGAGTACCCTCAGTTTACTTTACATGTGAACTGTGGGTTGGCATTCTTTGTCTGTTTCAGGGTTTTCTGGACATCTGAAAGATTGACTAAAACCTGTTAATCATCATTTTAGTAATTTGGTTGCTGCTCTAGAGTGGGTTCCCCCCACCCAGTCCTACCCAGAACTGTTCCCCCCACAGTCCTTTGGGAATTTAGATTAGATTATTAGGAACTAGATTAGATATTAGGAAAAAGTTCTTCACCCAGAGGGTGGTAGAGCACCAGAACAGGCTCCCAAGGGAAGTGGTCACAGCACCAAGCCTGACAGAGTTCGGGAAGCATTTGGACAATGCTCTTGGACACATGGTGTGATTCTTGGGGTGTCCTATGCAGGGCCAGAAGTTGGACTTTGATGATCCTTGTGCATCCCTTCCGATTTAGGATATTCTGTAATATAGATTCTGTAATTACCTTCTTTGATGTGGATCCTTCCAATGGCCTGGAGTTCTTCGAGAACTGGTCCAGCATGGTTCCCCTCAAGGCACAGCTGCCAGAAGACCTCCTTTTGTGTGAGTTCTCCACAGCTTCCTTCAGGGCACATCCACTTGCTGCGGTGTGGGGTTCTCCATGGACTGCAGAGTGGATATCTACTCTGAGAGTGCAGGGGGCACCTCACCACCGGCACCTAGAGCACCTTCTCCCCCTCTTCCTTCTCTGACCTGGGTGTGTTCAAGGGCAGTTTCTTTCACACTCACTCCCCTCTCACAGCTGCTGTGAAGTGTTTTTTACCCTTTCTTAAATATATCACTGCAGAGGCACCACCAACACAGTGCTGACGGGTTCAGCTTTGGTCAGCACTGGGTCTATCAGAGCCAACTCTAAGTGACTGTGTCCAGCACAGGACAAGCCCTGGTCCTTTCTCAGAGAGGCTACTCCAGCACTACCTCCTGCTGCCCAAACCTTGACTCCTGCACACAGTCCAGCTTGAAAAGTAGGTGGGCGAAGTCTCCTATTGGTCACATTGAGACTCAAGTTTGTTAAAAGCAGGGTTAACTTCAGCTCCCAAAATGAACCTCTGCTGTAGTGATTGACATCTGCTGCACTATATATACAGTGCTGTCAGGCTAATTTGAAATACGGCCATCTGGAGCTTAGCCTCACTTATTTAACAGTGCCCGTTCCAGAAAGCCCCTTGGGTTCATAGTGTGAATATATCAGTCATTCTGCTTCTATCCAGCATGTAATTGTTCTGCAATATATTTGTAATTTTTTTCCAAAATCATATTTATGTGAAGAGAAGTACTCATCTCTTCTTTCTCACTGTAAAACAGCCTAAATTTGCAAATGGCTATCTTCATGTTAAAACTTATCAGAATTGGGGATAGTGTAAAAATAGATGTACCTCCTCTGGCTCAAAATTGTGCAACTTACCTTTTCACATTTTACATGTAGTTTTTTGGAAATATTTTTAAAACATGAATTTTGGATTTTCCATTTTACATTATCTGTCCTGGAAAAACCTCTGCAGAAGTTAGACATGAAATATTATCTGAATTTCTGTGATTTGAGCTCTCAAAAGAATGACTCCTCAATGTGAATAATGATACTGTTTACTCAAGCCATATGTCTCCTTGGAAGAAACATATTACTCTAAAAAAATTTGAATAGTTCAGTTCTGCAATAATTCATGAGTTTTTCTTGAGAGTTTTAGCTGTAATTAAAGACACAGTCTATGCCATTATAAAGTAGTCAGCTCCTCAAAGATGACATAAGTATAGAATGCAATAGTAATTTGTCAGTGTGCATGAAGAGCAGCTATCATTTTTGGTATACACATTTAGCATTTAGCACTTACACATTTTGACTACTGTGAACTTCAGTCATTTTTATTGCATTATGCTTTACAGTCTGGTGATAATTTTTAAAATGTACCTAGATTTTATTTGGCATTGCAGCAGTGATAGTTGTTAATACTTAACTAAGCAAAAACCTCTATAATGTTAAAAGCAAAATTTTATGCTAAGTGTGGTAACACTGTCTACTCTAAAGAAAGCATTTAGTCCTCTAATATAAATAAAGCTGAGGATATCAAGTATTGCATTTAATGGGTAAGGAAAATGTCATGCTGTGTGACTACTTACCAGAAATTTTATTTCCTGGCATTCTTCTTACCCCAATAAGTCTCTAACATTTTCCAGAGGCTTCAAAGCTAGTACTTTAGCTAATAATATTTTGATTTTGGTATCACAGCCAGAATAGTAATTTAAAAGTTCACAAGTATGCTTCTAAAATGTCCTTCCACTCCCTTTCTCTAAGGGATATTGCTAGGAAGCACATAGTTTCCTGTCTATTATTGTGACATTTCCACGTCTGTTCTGTTTTTTAGGATTAGTTGGCTCTATAGAGCCATTCATGATGGGTATATACTGTGATGCAGAAAGCACAGAGGAATCCCAGGAAGAGAACAGAGACCAGTCTATTTGCAGAGGAGGTGGGATCTATTAATACAGTTACCAGTGTGCCAAACCCAGTCCTAATCTGAGAAGAAAATTGTTCTCTGAATACCTCAGGTACCATCAAGAGTGCTGAAAGTGAGGGGTTTTTTCCAGGTCCAGCTCTCAGGGCTCAAGGTGGTGCTACCACTTATGTTTTTCCTTTGTGCCACTCTATCTTGTGCTTCTTTCTGTGGAGTGGCACACTTAGCCAGGAGGTCACTCCTTTTCTCTGTGTTAACAGTGTTCTATATACCATGTGTTAAGTCTGTGAAACTTGCTTCAAAGATACTAAAAAGCGTTAAGTCTACGAAGATTTGTACAGGATAGGCTGTTTGTTTCCCTTTTGTGTGGATATTTTAGTCTTACTGCAGGCCAAGTGCACAAAACAGTAAATTTGAATGCTTACTACAGGACAATTTTAGTCATTTTTTAATCAGACTTAGGTGACCTGACTCTTGTCCAGCATGGTCCTTCTGAGAACATCATGGGCATTTCAAAGACATTATTTGGCATGAGGTTGCTGCATCATATTCATATCAGCATGCTGTGTGATCTACAGATACATTTTTTTAAAGGCTTCTGAAAAATGTCTTCTCGTTTTGAGTCTCTGTCTTGTTGCTGTAATGTTCTTGTTGTGTTTTCTGATTGTTGACCCCATAAATGCTTATGCTGATTTCCCATACTTGGTAGCTAAAGCAAGGAAGTGTTGTCAGCTTGTGCTGTTTAAATCAAAATTTACTATGGGTCTATTCACAAAAGTTTACTTAAATAGAAGCATTGAAATGATTTAGTTCAACAATTCTGCTCGATTTTATTTCTTCCTTCTTAGTTGTCACTTGCCCTTGGGTTTAACAGTGAAACGAAACTGCCTGAGAGCCAGAAATGTCTGAGATTCATTTATTAGTATTTCGTTTAAGCCTACCATCAAAGTTAATGGATTTGTCTTTTTCATACTTCACAGTTTGAAGACCTGAAATCTAAAATCTGGTTTAGTGTCACAGAGTCGCAGAAACTTTTAGATTGGAAAGGACCTCTGGAGACAGTCTACTCCAACCCACCTGCTCCAAGCAGGGTTGACTAGTGCAGATTGCCCAGGGTCATGTCCAGTCAGGTTTTGAAAAGCTCCAAGGATGGAGAATCCACAACCTCTCTTGGCAGCCTGATGTAGTGTTTGATTATTCTTGCAGTTAAAAAAAAAGTAGGAAAGATTTAGTAACAACAAAGTAAGAACAAGTAGCTTTCTTAATGTCTGAAACCAAGTATTTCTGTTGAATTGTTTCAATATATGTATGGTTGGTGCAGGAACTTCAAATTTGGCAGATGTTTGCACTGGATTCAGTGATTTGCCTTTAGCTTCCCCTGTGGAAGTCCACCTCATTTTGGATGAACTGTAAGTTTCTGAAAATTTTCATTTCCAAAACTGCCAAAGAACTTACTATCAGGTTACAACTGAAAGTTGGACACTTCTTTGCTGCAGGAAGTATTTTTTTCAGTTGACTTCCTGAGGGTACCAGTTATGCATCAGAATATGCTACCATATATTAAAATGGTGGAAATTGAGAAAGTTATGCAAATGCACACCAACAAGTTTTCAGTCCAAGTAGTATTTACAAAAGTTTGGAAAGCAAATGATACTGGAATGTTTCAGCTTGGCCATGAGTTGTTAAAGACCTATTCTAAATCCACAGTCATTCAATGTAAATAGGGTGTATAGAGTTAAGTCATTGTTAGTGAAATGCTTTGAACAATAAAGCAGTTAGCAAGGGTGATTTTTAAAAAAATTCCTGTTGTCAGAGACATATTCATTTGAAATTAAGGAAGCGCTTAACATGAAATTACTGTTTCACACTCTGTGTAGACTCAGGCATTTCATTGCCAAATGCAGATTTCAGCATTTAGAAGCATCACATTCTTCTCAAATCCTTGCTCCGTGAAGTTTGTTGAACTATATGAGGATAGGCAGGGGAAGGCAGCTAAATACTGTCAGACTTCTCACCCTGATGTGCTGGGTGGAACTACGCAGTGGGAGAGCTTGTGATAAAGGTTATGTTTATTAGTACTAGAAGACAGCTTTGAAACAGTCTCTTGGCATACTTTGCTGTTGGCCTTCTTGGACATGTCAGAAGAACTGGCCTTGAACAGGCAATAGCATCCCTCTCCTCTGTATACTGGTGAAATTTAGGTTCAACCTCCTCTCTTAGTAAAGTGCTTATTTCTGTATTTTCATTCTCTATTACAGGGTGAGATTATATAAAATACTGAAAAGTTCTGTGTTTGTTCCTGCTTTGCTTGAAAATTTAAAATGACAGCTCTTTAATTGTGTAGAGATGTCAATTTTTCTCACATTAATGTGTCTGAAATCAGTTTTTCTGTACTTTTCCCCTAATTCATGTTTCTTTGCCCTTTATCTTCTTTCCATTTCCTCCTCTGCCATATTTGCTTTTTCTTCAAGCTAGGGTTTTAGTTTACTGAATTTGGGTGTTGTCAGACTTATCAACAGTCAGGTTCAGTTCCCTACTTTGGAAGCGCAAAATCTTAGAAGTCTTGCTGATTCTCCTGTCAACAACTCTAAATATAAGTTGTTTTGGTTTTTGTTTGTTTGGGTTTTCTTTTAATGCAGGGTCCTGTGGACTCAGCACACACACACAGTTACTAAGTAAGGGTCTGGAGTGCATAATTTTGAAAATTTCCTGAAAGACATCTGTATGATGCACTCCAGGACTGCTACAGTGTATGCACAAAAGTGCACTAAGTCAGGATTATGATTTCTTTGAAAACCCTCTCCAGATCTAGAATAAACACTTACGTAAATACACGAGAGTTCAGAAGTATCAGAGGCACCTTTGTCAGCCCCTCTTGTTACAGCCCTCTGGCTAAACTCTTCTAGGTCATTGAGCTAACCCAGACTTTTACAGTAGTTTTATGGATTAGCATTGCCTGTGGCAGAAATAAGGGGAGGTGTTTCAATGTGTGGCCAAACATACATTCTTTTTAGAGGATTAGGTTTTTTCAGTCACTTTGCTTTTCATTCTGTTAATGCCTGATTTATTATTCCTAATTCATTTGATCCTGCCACACTATGTTTAATGCTATTCTATGTTATTGAAGCAGCCAAATCTTTTTTAACAAGTTGAGGAACGACATCAGTATGAATTTGCTGGTGTTTGTATATTGCTTAAGCACAGCTCTATGCTGCAGGTTGCAGTACTGCTCTTGCTCTTATTCCTTCAGTCTTTGCAGGTGTTTGCTAAGCACATATGGAGGTGCAATGAGTCTTCCTATTGTTTATAGGGGTGAAGACTTTGAGGAATGTCGCCAGGTCCTGAATATATTTGCCTTGTGATCTTGTTATTGCCATATGAATATATGCTGGTGTGTATCACAGCTGTCAGATGAACAGGGTTTACAAGCCCTGTTTCTCAGGTACAGTCTTGTGAGGGAAAGACTGCCTTGAGCATGGCCTTACTAGTGGTGAAGGTAGTTTGAAGAACTTTATCTGTAGCAATGCAGTATATCAGTGGCCAGTGTTTTATGACTGCAGTCCAGGGTGTCTTAAGTGTTTGGAATGGATTTGGATGCCAAGTCCCTATTTTTAATGTTTTATTCTGTTTGTGTATATGCTGACGGTATTCAGTGAGGTTTGCTACACCCCAAACTTAAACACCTTAATTCTCCTGAAGGATTCTTGATGTTTTTCTTCATATTAGAATAATCTCGGTCTGTAACTCTTCTGTCTCTTGTCCTGTACCAGCTCTGCCTCTGTCCTGTTTTGTTTCTTTTTTCTGCCTGTCATATTCTCTAGAACAGCTTCCTTCCATGTTTCTAAGTACCCATATACTTTGAGAAAGTCATGTCTGAAACAAATCCTTATTTTCCCCCCTATTTTCCTCCACCTCTGGTCATCTCCAAAGGGTTGAAGTGTACCTCTGCTTGGCAAACAAGGAGAGGTTATAAAGATTTGAAGTGAAACTGCCTGAAAGAATCAAGTCTGTATCAGGTGGAAGTTGAAAGAAGTGCTTGTCCTAGCTGGTCTGAAGTGAAGAGGATTTGGTACTCAATGCAAGTGCAGAAAGAGTCCAGATTTTCACAATTCAGTACTCACAGTTGCTTATTATTCCTACAGAGTGCCGAGTGCTTTAGATAGACTGATAACTATTATTGTTATTATTGTGGTGCCTCCCTATTATAAAATGCATGTGTAAACCGTTTGAGGAAGGAAGGTTGGCTGTGGTAGTGGTACCAAGTAGAGCAATTGATTATGTGGCTGCAGAGGTGTCCCTTACTTGGGATTTGTGCTACCCAGTCTACCTTGCTGAAAAGGCAAAATGACAGGAGTTGAAGAACAGATTAATGAAGTAGAGTTGATTTTCGCATTCTGAAAAAGGCTTAACGAGTAATGCAAGAAGGGGTCTAGAGATATTATAGGCAGGTAGTATTGTCTTCCTTGAGAGCAATGATGATATGACATTTATTGAAATAAGTATGTGTTTGCAGTGGAGCATGGCAGCACAGCACAGGATTGGGCTGAAGAACAAGGCACTTGTTTTGTGGTTAAGAAATGTGATAGCCCTTCTTTGTAGCCGCAGTTCAACAAAATGCATTAGACATGAGAATATCAAGGTCAGTAGGGCTGCTCACATGCATGCTTAAATTTAAGCATACTTTAGAGTGATGTAAGCATACTATTTTTGGGACTCGGAATAGGCATTTTATCACCTAAGCTTCGCAGGAGTGAAAAAATATAAGTAAAATTTGAAAAGTTCAGATGAAAAGGAAAAGAGCTAAATTAAACTTGAAAGACTGAAGGTAAGGGGTGTAAGTAAATGCAGAGGGAATTGATTTTTCTTCCATTTAAAATCATATTGTTACTACTTTGGTGACCTAAGGGATCATCAAATGTGACCTTGAGGATTCTTTTACACTGCCAGACAAGAGTAAAAATCTTTTTTTCCAGAAAGGAGAAAGGAGATGGCTCTTCAGTATAAATATGCAAAAG